TTTTGGGGTCCCATTTTCTTCATTATATTTCTTTCCTTGGGTCCTTGTAGAAGATCATGTTTGCCTGCTGGATTGCATCGTTGTGGATCTCCAGGACATGGACATCTTTGCTGCGGAGAGACATCCACGAGAATACTCTACAGCCACAGAGGACAATAGTGGAGATCTGATCTTCCCCTCTTACTTTGTGCGACAAACAGGAGGAAGCCTCTTAACTGAGCCTTGTAGGCTGAAATTGCAGGTAGAAAGGAACTTGGACAAGTGAGTGTTTTACATTTGAATAACTATCTATTGTAAGTAGAATCTTAACTTGGAAATTAGTGCTATTAAGGTAAGTCTGGAAAAACATAGGCATTCATTTATTTCTTCATCTGTTGAACAAGTGTTTATTGAGCCCCTTACAGTGTGCTAGACATGAGGGTACTATAGCAGAAGAGAAAGCGTCTGCATTTGCAGGAGCTTACGTTTTGTTGAGGGATATAGGAAGGAAAGTAGATGATTCTAGCTTAATGTTTGATTCAGTGTTATAAAACTGTGTTAATAAGATTACAAGTGCCTTGGAAAGAAAGAGAGAGGGTCACAAATTTAGCATGGATTTGGGTGGTGGTGGAGGGTAGTGATTGCAGGCAAAGTATTCTAGAAGTGATGGATATTTGAATTATGTGTTCCAAATATAATATATTTTGAACCAGTTATTGCTGTTTACCTTGGAACTCCATTTAATCAGTATAAATGTTTAGGTGCAGACTTGCCTATTTCACTGCATGAAGCAATATGAAAGTACTCCAGAAAGCCTAATGAACTGACTCCACGTTTACCCTTATCGTTGGCCTCCAAACATAGGATGCTTATTTCTGTAGTTCAGAGCATTGCTTCAGTTGTCATTTAGTTCCATGTCTGGCTGGGAACCTTCTTGGAAATAAACATTCTCAGACCTACCTGGAACCAACAAAATCTGACTCTCATGGCTGGTGCTCAGCTATATACTTCTGCTCTCCTGGTCCATGTACATGGGCTGGGAACCGCCAATTACAGTGTATGATGTCTCTTGGTTTGGGGCATTGATTTTGGAGAAAGCAGCAATGTTTTGCATCTTGACTCCAGGGAAAAATGAGGTGTGACTATAAAGTAAAGAAAGAGATTTCCATTTGGAGCATTTTGAAAAGCAGCCTCCTTACTTATGATAGAGTGTGATTTTAATCCTTCTTTGGCCACTCTCAGCACAGTTCTTGGGTTTGGGCAAGTCATTTAATGTCACTTTTTTAGTTTCTCTCTGGATTAATGATACAATTTAGCCGTTCTCACTGGGATGTTTGTATTTCACTCTTACTTGTTATTCAACTGCTCCCTGGCTGGTGTTCAGTTATGGTTGGCATGGGCTATATTTGGTTTTACTGGCTAAGCAATCTTAAGAAGAGCTTCATTATTTAGAAATCGAACACTTTGTTTTCTTTTGAAGCAGTGCTTTCCAAAAAAAAAAGTGCTTTGCTACTCTGCTTATCTAAACTTTTCCCGCTCCTATCAGTGTTTATGTGCAGGTAATTATACTCTGTTAGCCCAGATAGAAGGTGATACTGAACACAAGGTGTCCTTTCAGCTTCTTACACCCCAGAAACAGGAACCCAAGGTGGCACTTCCCAGTTTTTCTTTGTTGATTACGTGATTGGTTTTTAAAAACTCTATTGTGTGTATGCTTTTCTCTATAGACAAAGTAGTTTTTTATATTCCTCTGCCACTTCAAATCCTAACCTTCTGCCTTATATACTCAGAGTGTAGTGTCTGTAGGATCCATGATGTCCACTTTACCCATGAGAGGGGTGGGGAAGTTTTTTAGTGTTGAGATGAGGTATGCATGTGTTACCCCCCCTCCCCCATCTGCAACTTTACTTCCACCCAACCCAGCTGAGATGAGTAACCTATCTAGATTTTATCCTAACGTCCCACCTGGGTTCAACATGAAACTGGCTGTTGTCCTTTAGTTACCACTTTGCTTTATTGCTTTCCCAACTGTAATCTCTAAGCTATTTCTGAGTGTCATGAGGTTTTCTTTATTAATAGATTAGTTAGTTAGCTCATGTTAGAGTGGAGGATTTTCTTGATATATATTTTGGGGGAAAAAAGGGATATTTTGTAGTTGAAGCATGCCAGTCATACTAATTTGCTGCATTTGGAGCTACATGAAACTTTTGTCGTTGGAAGTTAGAAATTAACTGGTTGGTAATATATAGGTGGGTACATTTTAGCCCTCTATTTGGGTGTGATCTATGTCAGTGTTAAGTTAGGACTTGTTTGTGTAAATGACCTTTTTTCTGTTTCATAGAGAAATAAGTCATGCTGTGCCAGACGTATCTATCCATGGCAACCTCTCCTCAGTACACTGCTCCCTGGACCTGTATAAATACAAACTGATCCGTGGCTTATTAGAGAACAACCTTGGAGAGCCCATAGAGGAATTTATGCGGCCTTATGATTTACAAGATCCAAGAATTCATGTGAGTGAGATCTTCTGTAACCCTCATAGTCTCAGCTGATGTCACCCTATGTGTATATATTCCTCAAATTTACCTGGAGAAAGAAGGTGAAACAACAGGCAAATTAGATTTCTTGACATATTAATGCATTTTTAGGTTGGCATCATCAACTATGGACTGATCAGCATTTTCCTCTTGTAGACTGTTCTCAGTGGAGAAGTGTACACTTGCATGTGCTTCCTCATTGATATGGTAAATGTAAGTCTGGAGCTTAAAGATCCAAAAGGAAAAGAAGGTGCTGGGTCTCTGGCCAGGTATCACTTTAATTTTATTTTATTATTATTTACAATAATCCAAATAATGCACATATTTTGTATTAACATAGAGCGGAGGTTGCAGAGTGGTGGTCCACAGGCAGAATGTGGTCAGCAGAGTGCTTTTGGTCTACACAGTGCTTTTGAAAAGTTTCAGTTTGTTTCTCTGTCAGCCAATACAGGTTAGGTTATGCTCTAGTAATAGGCAACCCCACATATCAGGGACTTAAAAGAGTGAAGATGTTTTTCTCCCTCATACTATGTGACTGTTGTGGGTCTCAGGCTGCTCTGCTCATTGGAGTCACTTGCAGTGACGTGCAGCCAGTGTTTTGCTGTGCCAGAGAGACAAACAAGAGCTCTGGAATTGGTCTCGAATGGCAATTAAATGCTCTGGCAAACCTTGTGGAACTAGAATGTGGCCCCACACGGTGCAGCAGAGTCAGGAAGTACTGTCTCACTGTGTCCGGGGAGTTACGGGGAGGGAGATCCCCTATTGGGTTGCAGCCCTGATGACTGCATCACTGGCCAACATTTAAAATATTGGGAGATTTCACATACAAAGTTTGGATTTCAGATTTGTTTAGAAAAGTAGAAACTTTGGCAGTACTAGGTCCATGTTCTCACTTGGAATCACCTGGAAGCTGAGTAGCAACCGCTCCGTTTAGATGGGGTGTGTACTTACCTAGCAGTCCATTTATATCACTTGCTTGGTCAGTGTAGGTGTATGCATTTGTGATTACTGGTGTAGAACTTTAAAGAGTGCATTGTATTTTCACACATAATAACCTTTTCATTTTGATCTTTTATCAGCCCTGTAAGGTTGGGCAGATGCACTCTTATTTTCCAGATAGACTTTCTGACTAAGCATAAGGTCATATGCTTGGAAAATTGGTTCGATATTTGAAAACAGTACTTCAAGCCTAGTAATTTCCCTGCTGAAGTACTCTGTCTTCTAGTTTGTCTTTCCCTTGAAACTCTGCCATGGTCTGTACCTAATTCAGCTGATGATAGCCCGGTATTGTGAAACTGGGATCCCAGATTGATGGTTTTGTTAGCCGGCAGTTTTTTCCTGATGACTGGCTATGCCTTTAGTTTTTCTCAGTATGGAATAATTCTGTATATATTGTCACAATGGTGCTGAGTAATTATGAATTGCTCATTGCAGCTTTCTCTTATTTATTAAATATTTATTTATTTATTTTTTGAGATAGGGTCTGACTCTGTCACCGGGGCTAGAATGTAGAGGCATGATCATAGCTCACTACAATCTCAAACTTCTGGGCTCAAGCCATCTTCCTGCTTCAGCCCCCCCAATAGCTGGGACTATAGGCGTGCACTACGGCACGAGGCTAATTTTTCTGTTTTTTGTAGAGATGGGCTTCCTCTTGCTCAGGCTGGTCTAAAACTCTTGGCCTCTAAAAATCCTCCTGCCTTGGCCTCCCAGAGTGCTAAGATTATAGGTGTGAACCACAGTGTCCGGCCCTATCTTTTATTTTGTTAAAAAAGGTGGTTTCAAAGACATTTCCTGTTGATAGGTCAGTTGAATTATTTATCCACATGAATTATGTTATTCGTTCTGATTGTCCCCAGTATATTATAATAGTCTTACATAAAAGTTCAGACAGACTGGAGAGAGAAACCTCCAGGGAAGCTGGAAGTTGACAGATGAAGGTCTAAAGGGACCCTTGGCATCCCTTGGGGATTATTACAAATATACAGCCTTCTTAGAATTCTGATGGGAAATGGGAATGATTATGAATCAAGAATATCATAAATGTGTGATATTATTATTTCTCACAAAGTTCCTGTGAACCTCTTACAAGGTTACAATGACACTAAATCCATTTTGAGGGATCTACTGACAAAATCAATGAAAGAGCTCAGATTGAAAGTTGTTCTCCTTTGTAGGACTTAGATATATTTATGATTTTGGTCTTGTTATCCTAAATGTACATACTTTTGTAAAATGGTGGAAGAATTATGTTTCACATCTTATCTGTTCTCTTTTTCCCGTTTAGATTTGACTTCAAGAAATGTAAACTGCTCTATGAGAGCTTTTCCAACCAAACCAAGTCCATTAACTTGGTTTCCCATTCCATGATGGCTTTTGACACCCGCTATGCTGGCCAGAAGACCAGCCCTGGCCTGACAAATGTATTCAGCTGTATCTTTCAGCCCTCCAAGAACAGCAGCAGTACCCATGGATCCATTCAGATTGAACTGCATTTCAGGTAGTAGATCCAGACACTGACTCTGCCTTTCCTATGGAAACATTCCTTTTTGCGGCCGGCGAGCCAAGTCCATGTTGGCTTTAGAACATCAAAGGACCAAGGAATCACTAAAAAGAGAAACAGATAATGGCTGTTAGGGCAGTGTACTGTATATTGACATGTTATTCCCATAATCTTGCAGTTTCATTTATTGGCCAAAAGATGTCTCTGTTGCCTTAAAAGTAAAAATAGTAGTTCAGCATTGAGTTGAACCAGGCCCTTAAAATCAACCTCCCTGTAAACTGAATACTGTTTTAATTTGTCAAGCAATTTGAGGAAGGAAGAAATTATGCTGGTTTAAGGAAAACAGAGAAGACTTTTTGTCTCTAAAAATAATGGAAGAGAAGGTGTTTTTGGCTTGAATTACCTGTTATTTAAGCCTTGCTCACTTACTTGTTCATGTATAGAGTTTTTACCTTTTTGAATTAGGTTGTGTTTTTCTTTCTGATATTTTGAGAGGCAGTGTTGTATGTGTAAAGAGCATGTATTTTAGAATCAGATCTGAGCTCAAAACCAAAGCCTACTACTTTTTAGCTGTGTGTCCTAGGACAAGTTGTTTAGCTTCTTTGAGCCTCAGTTTCGTCTTCTATGAAGTAGAAAAAATATACGTACCTCATTAGGTAGAAATAATAATCACAATAATTCTGGCATATTGCTTGACACAGATGGTAGCTGTTATTATTACTGATGTGCTTGTGTTATTTTATGATATACTACTGTGAGATTTTATGACTGAGCATATACCTGAAAACTGAAAAATTAGGTCTGATCTAAAGAAATCTTTCAATGAAAATCCAAAAAGAGACTTTGGAACTAAGGTCAGTTTCATTCTGTTAATGCTTAATGCCATCAGATATGTTGTAAGTACAAACCACTAAGTAAAAAAGCTGGGAAAAACTTTGTAGTTAATCAAAAAAAGAAAAAAAATCATCAAGATTATTCTTATATTTATGTATTTATATTTCAGTGTGCTGTTCAGAATTCCTAAGGGTTTAGGATTTTTTTGTTTTTTTTTTAATAGAGCAAGGCCATGGTCTCTCCATATGCCTCTAGGAAGTTTAGCAAAGTGGACATTTAAACTTTTGTATGAACTTTTAAAAAGTTCAATAGTAGGAATGCTAGTTGCCTCTTACCGGACCCTGCCATGAGGTAGGTATTTTATCTGTAGTCAGTTTAATCCTTATAAGTCTGCAAAGGGGTCACTTCTTCCTCATTTTACAGATGTAGAAATAGACACTTGGAGAAGGGTTAAGTAATCTACCCCTCCCCTGCTTTTTTCCCCTGGCTGGATTTACTGAATAATTAAGTAACTCTTTTTAAAGTCACATAGTTAGTAGGTCAAGTAGTCAGAGCTCAAACCTGGGTCTCTGACTTCACAGCCCATGTCTCTTCTAAGAGTCTTCAGGCCTACCAGGTTTCTAGAACATTATTGGTCTGATTGCAATGAGATGATAAGATGGTTGTGTTTTGTAGTTCCTTTGTTTGAAGATGTTTATTTAGACAAGAGGCTTGCATATGTTTGGTCCATCTGCAGAAACAATTTTCTTTTTGAGTTTGTTTTATTATTATAGATCCGGCTTCCTAAACCATCAGCTAGTTGTCTCACGTGTCATGTTTTTAGTGTACAAGCAGCCTCAAAATATTACTTGATGTATATATTAAAGGTATATATAATTTCTTGGAGTCAAATAATAAAGTCTTACCTTGGCTCTTGCTAACAGAAATACCATTGTTAGTGAGAGGAGTAAAATGTTCTCTTGATTGGAAATTTTGAACGCCTTCCGTGTCTCAAGAAGAATTACTCTTCTGTTGGGATTTTACATGTCAAATATAAATCACTTCACAGTGTTTAAAGGCTTGAAATATTTTCCAGAAAAGGGATTCAGCACACTGTGACTTTCCAGTTAGTGCATAGCTCTGACAATCTGTGTTTAAACTGGGGCGGAAAAATTTTACTGAGGGCAACATTTTTTCTCCATTACAAAAGAGTAGAGTGTTTCTGTGAAAAATGCTGTCTCTGTAAGAAGGAGACATGCATCACGATGCCCTTTTAGTAGAGGCAGCAAGTCAGGTTTAGGAGAAACTAGAGACTAGAGAAAACAACCATAGAAATACCTTCAAACCTGCTTTTCCCAAATAAAAGCGGCATTTAGGGCAGAGGACCAGGTACATGTAGTAGCTAGAGCTCTGGAGTCTCTCTTCTGGGCTTCAGAACCCAGTTCAACCCAGAAAGCCCTATGTAAGTATGTCCCTAGCCCATGTTTCTTTTGTCCTACCCACCTGGGCAGGGTAGGTGTAATAGCCTACCAATTAGTAGGCCTGGGTAAAGCTCCTGACTGCACCACGGTTTGAGGCCAGGCCTGGGGGTCCTCCTCGGGTTTTCACTTCAAATACAGAATTTGAAGTAATGGGGGTTATAAAACAAGTGCTCCCCTCCTCCCTCAACTCCACCTCTAGGTTGCTTAAGTATATCCCACAGTAAATGTCATCTTATTTGTTCTCCTTCTCAGGCTAAAACATCAATTTCAGCTAGAGAAACTAGTACTAGTATGTAAACTTTGTGTTTATAAAGAAGTGATCCTAGACATCAAATAAAGAGTGCCTCATTGATCTTCTTACAATAGCCAATAGGGAAGGAAAATGGCATTTATCAAATTCCTATTGTGTGCCTGGTGCTTTATTTCTTATGATATTAATATTTCTCATTTTATAAGTGAGGAAACAGGTTGAGAGAAGGTAGCTGACTTACTCAAAACAACGTAACTTATAAGTGACAGTATTTAAGTCTGGGTCTTTGACTTCAGAGCCTGTGTTCTTTCTATACCAGAGTTTCTCAGCCTTAGCACTTATTGACATTTTGAAGGTCAGATAATTCCTTGTTGTCTTGTGCATTGTGGGATGGTTAGCAGCATCTCTCACCTTTCCTTGCTAGACGCCAATAACAACCCTCCTGTCCCCACCCATCTTCCCATCGCTTTTGCAATCAAAATGTCAATCAAAAATGTCTCCAGACATTGCCAAATGTTTTCTGGGGAACAAAATCATCTTAATGGAGAACCACTGGGCTACACTGTTCTACTTTCTTATAGCATATTCCTTCTTGTTTAAAAATATGATTTTGTTATTCACTGAATGTGTTATTAAACCAGTGTTCAGAGTTTATCGATACTTGAAACTGGCGGTTTAGAAAATATTGGATTACCACATGCCAAAACCGAGTAATACATTTGCAGGTTATTAAAATACCAAGTTTTTTTTCCTATTTTATTTTTTCTGTCTTCTTTCTTGTAGATCTACCAAGGATTCCTCCTGTTTTACAGTAGTTCTCAACAATCTCCGTGTGTTTCTCATATTTGACTGGCTACTCTTAGTCCATGATTTTCTCCACACTCCCAGCGATATTAAGAAACAAAATAATGCTACTCCTTCTCGCCATCGTAACTCTAGCAGCGAATCTACTAGAGTTCCCAAAACTGTGAAGTGTGGAGTAGTTACCAAGCGGTCTTCCCTTCCTGTGTCCAATGAAAGGCACCTGGAGGTCAAGGTCAATGTAACAGGTGATTCTACATACGTGTGATTCACTGGTGCTTAGTTTGGTTGTTAGGCTCAATATCTGTCTTACAGGGTGATTTCTCTGTTGCTTCATTTTTTGACATGAGCACTTACACATTTGCATTTATTACAGACCAACAAGTGTTGAAGTTCTTGACCTCCCTTTTCAGGTGTGAGCTGCCTGGCCCACTGAAGGCCATGGGGTCTCTTGTGCCTCCCCTCTGCCTGCCTAGTGCATGTGCCTGGCCTGAGGGTCCATCTGGGCAGTGGTCTTTTTTCCCAATGTGAAATCTGGCTTCAATTTTCTGTTTGATCTTTAGGGCCCCAACAGATGTGCATTACTGAGTTTAGACAAATCTGGTATGTGAAAAAATCTCAATTTTGAAGATAAATAAGTGAGGGTATTGTTATTTTCTTTAGAAAAAGAATATTTTCCCATGCAGATGAATTTACTATTTTTGTTGACTAGTAGTAAACTCTTCCAGTGCATCTGTATATATTTGTGTGTTTATTGCTGTTTGTGATACCCCTACCTACTTTTCAATGGTTTTGATGAAGCTGGCTAATACAATGCATTTTAAATGGATTTAGTTAAATCTCGACATTAACTTGGTCTGCTTTCTTTTAAATAACTTTGTAAACAATTGCATAGATGCCAGATAGTGCCTTATGGTGCCTGACCAACATTAGTCAGCCATCATATTGCCCTGCAATTTTCAATCAGGGCATCACTTGAAGAAAGGATGATTTTCTGAGTTTCTGAATCTGTTAGGCCTCCCAGGAGAACTGGGATGCAGATTCTATCTCTAGCTTAAATAAGAATGCTAAAGAGAGAAACCGCATCCCAGTCTTTTCTGCTATTGCATTGCTCTGTTGGTTGAGCTGTACCTGGCCAGATACAGAGAATTTATTCAGAATGACAGTAAAGCGAAATGTCGACAGACATCTTGGAGAACAAATCTTACTGGTTAACATTCTTGCCTGGTGGGAATGGGCTGCTTTGTTAGCAACAACCTGGTGTTTTCCAGCTTCCTAGCTTTGGCTTGATTGACCATGCTGTCCTTTCCAGGCACCGAGTTTGTGGTCGTTGAAGATGTGTCCTGCTTTGATACCAATGCCATTATTCTAAAAGGCACCACAGTGCTTACCTATAAGCCCCGATTTGTCGACCGCCCCTTTTCAGGAAGTTTGTTTGGCATCGAGGTAAGAAGTCTATGTGTCGATTACAGCACTACATGTTTGGTTCAAGAGAAAAACATCTGTAAGAGAATTTTACCTACTAAACTTTTGTTAGTGGAAATAATTCATGAAATTAGAGGACCCTTTGCCATCTTTTCCTCTTTGTTTTCTTCTAAGGTGTACTAGGTTATTATTCTAATGTGTGAATTCAGTCCTCTAAATATGCAGAGGGAATTTATCCTCCCTTCCTCAAGAAGTACAAGGAGACTTTTCTAGTCCCCATTACCCTGTCAGGCACTTTGTTGCCTTCTCTAGTTCTACAGGTCTAGTTCTTGGC